CTGGGCAGAAAGTTGCATGCCCTAACAGTATGTGGCTCACAGCAAATAGCACAGCAGTGACTACGCATGTCTGTCTGCTTTCTCTTTATCTATACCCTGAGCAAGGATTTTTCTCATCTCATACATCATTCACAACCCACTGCAGTGATTCCCCAAAGTCTGTCTGTACCTTCAGCACAACGAAGAAGAAGAAATGGGCTGCTTGAGAAAGGCTGCCTTGTCTCTCTAAAAGACTGGCATTTCACTGCACTGCAAAATCCCTGAGGCTGTGTTTTTAGCAGCGCCTCAGGAATGCATTGCCCTTTAAGGCTTTGAATGGGAAGAATGACAACAAAATTGGGGATGCGTATTCAGCCCTTTAGTCACTTACTCCAAACGCATCCCTTTTAACACTCTGACCGTCTGTAATTGTACCACCCGACAAGAACTCCCATGACCAGACAATGCCATTTCATGCCGTAGGTCCTTTTAAGAGCAAAACCGAGCTACCTGAAATATGGCAAAAAGAAAATAATTCATCAAAACTGTGTTGAATACTGGAATAAACTATGACACCTACTATGCCTTATAACCTGTTTTCATTAATTTTACAGACATTATTGGGGAAAAATAACTTTGAGCAACTGAGTATCTTGGCAGACAGCAAATAACTGTGCAGTAGGCTGTTCATCAAAAGCCTCACAAATTAATATGGCAGTTACACTCACCTGTTTTGTATCAGGAGTCATTAGGTTTAAGCTGGTGGTGGAGATATTCAGTATTATGCTCATTCCTGCAAACTGAAGATTGCTCTTTCCCAAGATGCTAGAAAGAACTTTGCTTGGTGGCTGTGAGGGGAGGGGGGGAAAAGCACATTTTTATTCTTTTTATTTGGGATGACCTTCACTGTATGCAGGGTTAGCTGTAATCTCAAAAGTTTCTAAAAAGTTGCTGACTTTTCAAAGATCATTTCATTGCAACATCTGTTTTGCTCTGGAGATAATTTCTCAATAATAATAGCTAGGCAAGTATTCATCTACTCTGGACCTAAAAAGTAGGGGGTTTATGAGATAGCAAAGTCTGATCTTCACCAAGGGACCATGTGAGCAGACTAAGATGAATGCCTTCAGTCAGTATCTTAAAATGGCATGTTTTTATTCTGTAAGAACAGCTTCAGCTCCTGAAAAGAAACCTGTTGTTTGCTCTGCATCTACTGACTGCTTTACTCCTTTTCCTCGTGGAAAGCAGGACTCCAGTGATACTGACGGGATGCTCGCAAAAAGGGATACACAGTGTCATTACGCTTGCAGACTTCCTAGCAGTAAGTAAAAGCCCAGGTTAAAACCTCTGTATGCTGCAGTGTAACATGAGGCTGAAGATTACTCCAAATTCAGAGAATAAGTACGAAGTGTTGCAATAAATTGTTGTAATAATATTGATAACTTTTATAGGCCTTTCACTAGATCTTAGGAGGTTTTGTAGCAACACAAGTTATGCTGCCAAAGCAAAATTTACAAATTTCTCAGCCTTGATGCTTACAGGGAAGCACACAGCTGCATGAGAGCAGCCTCATTTGGGTAACCACAGCCTGGATGCCCAGCAATAACAGACCAAGTCCTTCCATTTGCTGTACTTGTAATATTTATGCTGGTCATTAGGATATAAAAACAAAGCTGTGACTGCAGGCAGTGTTCTTCTGCTGCTGTATTTGCATTTGTCCTAAGCTGCCTGCAAGCTTGGAAAGTTTTGTCCCTAGCAGGATGGACACACTTGTGCTTCTTTACTCCTTCAAGATTACATATATGCAGTTTTATCTGTTTAATTGATTAAAAATATGCTACCTACATGCTGCTCATATGTAACATTCATGCTGCACTATTTTAACTTTGTCATGTTACAGAGCTAATACTTCATTAACTTCTCTTTAAAACAAGACATTTTGTACAATCTTTTTTCTCTTCTTTCCTTAAACCTGCATGATTCCCAGCTCATGCCTAAGGATCAGCTGCCCATGGTGTGTGGCAAGTGTGAAAACTTGGCCTCAAAAAGTACATGTCACCTTAACCAAATTTATAAGCCACTAGTGGCAAGAATACGATCAAAGTACAGACTGGCAAAAGATACCTGTCTTTAACATCTATCTGAAATTCTGTTGCTGGGCAGATTTTCTTCTCAGCCAGTATGCTTACTTTAAAAACACTGTCTCTTTTCAATCACTAATAAGCAACATTGCTTCTAAAACCAGTAGTACAGCAAGGTGTCTCTCTAGGCACTTGGGACTCTGTTTAACCTACTTTTCCAATGATATTTTGTATCATTTTGCTTTCCAAGGAAAAAGATATTTTCCCCTTTACTTTCAGGTTCTAAAACAAAAGCCAGAGGAACTAGAAATGCCAATGAGAGAAATTTGGTCATGGTAGTGAGGAAACCACAACCTTAATTTCTCACACAATTTCCAATTACGCTGTGACATATGTTGTCACATACGCCTTATTTTACCAGGGGAAGATTCTCCATTGCAAACAAGTGGCATTTCATCCCCTCTCTTTCTGCTGAGATTCTGCCTAGATGGTGGAGCACCTGGGGAAGCAGGCAGACTTTTTCCCTCAGCTGCCCATTCTCCTCCTGCACCCACAACACACACAAGGGCTGTAATTAACTGCTTTATATGCTCTTTCTCCTAGTTAGCATTAAATCCCAGCTCTGCTAGCAGGCCCCTGGAAAAGCAAGCAGTGCAAGACTGTTGAGAACCATCAGTGCAGGAGCTCAGGTGAGGCTTCCTCCACTCCTTGACCGCAGATCCTAACTCCTACCACACAAATAAGAATAAAACCACGGCAGGCCAATGCCCACTGGACCAGCCATCAGTGCTGGCCATTAAGTGTCAGCCACAGTTGTCTATGCAAAGAGGACAGGGAACAGATGATCACCTGCTATGTTTTCTCCATTTCCAGAATTCAGTGATTTCCAAACTCATTGTCACCAGTAGAGCTATGCTCCAAGAATAGATCTAATCACTTTCAAAACTATGTATATTTTTGGCCTCTGCAATAGCTTCCAGCACCTGTTTCCACAATTTACTCTTGCATTTTATGAAAATGAACCCTTTTTTGTTTGTTTTAACCCTTCCACTTGCAATCTACAAAAGAAAGAAAAGAAAAGGAGGGGATTTTTACAGCGGGAACACAAAGGCAAGTCACCATCTTTTTCCAAGATGTACTCATACATCTAGATGCCTATAAACGCAGATCCTGACCAAAAGGGCAAGAAGCAAAATACAATGGGTGAAAACAGCCAATACTTTAAATGATTAATGATCTGTGATTCTCAAAGCTTCTTTAAAGTCACCTGCCTGCTGTACTTGGTCTCCTCTGTGTTGAACTAAGAAAATACAGTCAGCTGCACTACAACAAAAGACAAATACCTTTCGTTTCTTGAAGGCTCCTTTGGCACCAGGCACAGCTTCACAAACACGACTGATTGCTTCCCTGAAGAGACAGAAAAAAAGCTTTATGGCAAATGAATGTGTGGGTTTCTTCATTATAGCTGAAATGCACTGGGAGAGAACAGCTTCAGACTGTATTTCTGTTCACAAATGAGGATAGTAAGTGGGTCAGTTAGCTCTCTTCTCAAGGCTAAAACAGGTGTCATTCAAATTTAGATTACTTCAGTGTGAAGCAGAAGACAGTAAATAGCCAGTGTTAGTGTAAGGAAGAATGTCCTGAGAACTACAAAGGATAAAAATGTTTTCTTGCACTATTAAAAAGACCTTTTCTCACCATAAATTGTCTTAATACCTTCTTTCAAGTCTCATTTTTGTACTTTATCAAGTCATGAGGAATCATAAGACATGGTCCTTAACATTGCTTTACACCTTTTTTAAAAACCTTACTTGTAATGTAAGGGGTAGTAACTATCATTTTTCTCACTACTATACTACGCACTTTTCCAGTCAGAGCAAAACCACCTGTCTTTAGACAATATCAGAACCCTAAAATATTCCTGGTAATATGCATGTTGTACACAATACATGCAATGTATGACATTTTAATTGATATTTGTTCAATACAATCTGAATAATTTATTTGTGGCCCTATTTTTATGTTGTAAGCAAAATTAACGCCATTAACATTTTTCTCCAGTTTTCTAATATTTCTTCATTCTTTCCATCATATTCAGGTTCAATGAAAGAAACGCATATTGGAAATTAATTTGAATCCATACCCTCTCATAGGAGAGTAAGTCTACATTACAAAAACTCTTGAAATCATACTGCTGCAAACAAGTCTTATAGATCCTTTCAGCATTTAACAACTTATTATCTGAACAGTCTACATGGTGTGTATTTAGAATTTGTTTCTGTGCACACAGAGACCTTCCTGTGACCATGAGGTGCAAAGCTGTAATAGACCTGTCTCACTGATACTGTGAGACAGAACAGTAGCACAGGCATGAGTAAAGATGACTCCAAACCTTGTTTAACAGTTTTAAGTACGGACTAAGACTAACAGCACATTATATTTAGCCCTAAAACCATGCAAATAACAGATATTTTATGAAAAAAAAAAAAACAAAACCCCAAAAAAACAGAACGGGAGACAATGAACTACAAGCTAGACAACAGTCAAAATAATCAAAACCTTGAAACTTTACCTTGATAAAAACGTAAATTATTTTAATTCTATGTCCATGTGCAGGATGATGTTTCAACCATGCATTAGGTGAATGCACAGGATCAACAAGTGAGTCAGGAGAGAAATGTCATGTATGTATCAGCATTCAACATCTAATGGCTCAGCAAATGTCAGAGATTTATCCAGATGCAATCAGTAATTGCTATATAGTTATGCCTTGGGTGCTTTTACCTAGGGCCCAATCCAAAGTTCAAATCACCTGAAAGAATTGCATTAATTTATTATTTTTGGGGGGTGAGTGGTTGTGTGGGTGGAACAGGACTTGCAGCAGGTTTGAAGTCCTGTCATTCTGAAGAAGCATGAGATATATGGCAAGAGATAGTCAAAAAAACTTTCAGGCACGCAATTTTTTCTTCAGGTCTAGAGGAGAGCTTGTTTGCTCCACACCTTGTCTTTTTCTCTTTTTTTCCCTCCAACTACAACTGTCCATCTAATAAAATTGTCTCTCACTACAAACCCCCCTTGCATATGCTCTCAGACCATCACAGCTACAACAGCTCTCCATTTCACAGTTCAGCGCTTGTATTTAGTTCCCACATTTACCACAATGCTTCTTTGATTCCAAACAAGTCTGTTAGTTATAGTAGCTACTAACTTTTCTTACAGAGCAAGTAAAAATAGATTGATAAAAAAGAACAGCCCTGATGCATCTTAGAAATACAGCACAGCAAGCATCAGACAGAGTGATAGTCATGATACTGAGACATAAGCTATTCCTGAAAATGTAACTGGGAAAAAGAAATCTTTTTCTCCACCAAAAATGTCTTCTTTGACTCAGGAAAAGCAAACAGATATTATGTTATACAGAGCCATCCCCTCAGCCTTCCTACTGAGCTAAAACTTGTGGTTTCCCATTTCTTTCTTGCACTGAACCAAATACTTTGGAGGCAACGGGGTGGGAAGTCCAGACCTGTGGTGGTCCCCAACCCACTGCTGTCTTTCAGACCCATGCCTCTTGCTTCACCAGGTGTGCTTGAGCTTCTTGGGCATTTCGGTTGCAAGTTGCTGACACAGAGGTGTCGCCAGCACTTCATCCTCTTTGTTTCCTCCAGTGGTCAGATTAGCGCATTGAGATCCCTCATGAGTTTTGCCTCTCACAAAAAGGATTTGTATTTCAGAGATATGAACTGTGCTTGAGGGATAAATTCACCTGTAACTTCCTTCCTCTTTCTATCTTGGCTCTCTAGCAGCAACATGGCGCAGGTAGGAAGAAAGGGGACTTTTCAGGCCACCGCACCTGACAAAAAACATTTACAAGCTTATTATTTTTCTGGTGCAGGGCTGGGATTTGTAGTGGTTTTGCTACTACCTCTCTGCCTGCCAGCTCCTTATAATCAGACATAAGGTGTGTTACTCAATAGACCCATCTGACTCAAGAATCTTGTTGATCAAAACTGAAACTTAAGTGTAGGAGAGCGAATGCCAACTGAAGAGGCTGAAGCCCAGGGTTGAGGGTTGGCAAGGCAGCCTTGGTTACTGTTTATGCATCCTGCCTCAGCAGAGCAGGGAAAGCATTAAGCAGCTGAAAAGCTAGGATATACATCCTCTCACTCAGTAACAAAGTGCTATAGATTTTCCAACTACCTATCTTTGTTTTAGTAAAATATCTTGGTTTTACTGAACTTGGTGTTCCCAAAGTCTGCAGGAAGACTGGAAGTGGGGGAAAGGACCTGAGGAAGGTGACAGCTTGTTGAGATACGTCAGATGAGGCAGGACATCTGAATTTGAATTTGACAATTCTTTCAACTTAGGTTTTTGAAACTTTTTTGAATACTAAATGTACTCAAGCAGCAGCAGGGTTTAAGTTAACAATGCTTTTGGTGAAAACGCTGGGAACTTCAGAAAAGATATTCATAGAGCAATTCTGCTTAGGCAAGGTCAGAGTGGCCTTGCAGCAACTCTTTGTGTACATGCAACAAAAGGCAAAGTACTCTTCCCATATGAGAGTTAAGGATCCTTAAAGAAGTATTTGATGAAAACAAGAAGAAACAGGGTGGCTGAATACCTGTCACTGCACTGATACGCACTTTTTCCAGGGGAAGGTTCCTGGATCTCTCTGTTCAGAATATTCTAGATCATTTGAGGGGGCGTCTTTACACAGGTAGCCTGGTGATGTGAAATAGACAGCCTAAAGACTTCTTTCTGCCTTGCGTTGCCAGGCAGGACAGGGCAGATATAAGTTTTTTTCCCAGCAAATCAGATTTGCAAATGCTTCTGCAGCAAGAACATCTGAGCAGCAGATCAAGACCAGAAATAGATATTGCTGCTAGATTGAAAGAGTGCTGTTACCTGACTTGTGCATTGAAATGCTTGTCTAAGGAAGGCAGAAACAGCAGTTCTGGACATATCTGCATGGCTAAGCCGTTGCACAGAGTTTGGAAAAGTTGGATGTGACTACATTTGCTTCTTTTCCAATAAGAAAGATATTCAACATAGACATACATTACACCTTTCTAAGCCACATGCTCTTTCATTAGCTAGGCTCAGATGAATACCAGTGTAGAGTTATCTTGATTTCTTGTAAAATTAGCTACTGCGCTGTCTGCAGTAGGGACCACATGCTGAGTTCCAAATCTGTCCAGGAGTATTTTCTGCCTTGCAGATGGTCATAATGTGGAGTCATTTTCTTGGCACAAAATATGTTGTGTGTTTTGAATATAATTTCAGCAAGCAAATGTATCCAGTGAAAAATCACCAGTATGCGTTTTCCAAAACTGACCTATTCTGCTTTAAAGTGACTTGACGTCTCTCTGAGACAGAAAAAAAGACATTTTACATTGCCATTTTGTTCAATTAAAAAGGCTAATGCCCTGATATTTTTCATAGCTTTAGTCATATTTTACTCTGACTGTTACATAAAGTAGCCCACTCAGGAAGCTCAAATCTGTTCCTCTGTGAAACACTATCACATGAAAATACCCTCCCTTCTTGTGGTTTCAGACTTTTTTGGCTGTGATGTTAGGTTTTGTTGTTGCTGCTTTTAATTAGTACAACTTAATTGATTAAAAACCAGAATTCTGGAACTTGTATTTCAGGGAAATGACAGACACATACAAATTGCATAGATTTTCTCAACATATTTGGAAAAAGTATAGCTATCTCAAATATTGAGCTGAGAAACTGTGACTAATTTTTAGTTTGAAATGTCTTGTATGACAAGACTTAAAACCTACCAATATTCTTTTGTTAATATCTTCCAGTATCCTATAGTTTCCAAGTTTATCTTTGCCAACTCCAAAGTGTAGGGCTCCACAGGTTAAAAAATCAGGCATTAAAAGATGGACTTTTTAAATGAAAGCATGACATGTCTAGAAGGATTGTACAGAAGGCTCCATGTTAGTTCGTAATAGTATTATAATCCTGCCAATTTAAAAATATAATTTATAAATTACCAAGTATTGAACCAGTATTTGCTGAGGAGAAACAAAGCCTGTACTAAACATGAGAATTACTTGCTTCTGAAAAAGAAAAAAAACAGAGACCAAAAATACATTTTCAGAAATCCATTTAATAATTGAAATATTATTTGTTCATTTGCAAAGCTGACAAAATGAGCATGTGCTGTCTGAAGTAGCACAGGGGACATTCACAAGGTCTGAAGACTAAACCACTATATTATGGTTTACAGAACTTTAAATGCCAACTGGCAAACTGACTGTGTCCGGAAGACGTAAAGCTGGAGAAGCAGCTAAGGAAAACAAAACAGAGAGCATGGATATGAAGGGGAGGCTAACTGCGTGGCATGGATCGCCTATTGCTGTGAATTCAGAGTACCGTGCAGAAAGTACCCCGGC